TCAGAAAGTTACAAAAGACTCCAAAAACCTCAAAACCCTTTACATAGTGTCTCTCGGTTTCTTTCTCTACTCTCTTCCTCAAAAACACTATAACAACCTTATGTTTTGTGTTGTGTTCTCTCTCCTCTAGTTTTCACTCGCCCACTACGAACAATGTATTTGTCTCTAATTATATACTCACATCTTGACCTAAAGCCTCGAATGCTACTCACCAATTTCTCAAATGCATTAATTGAACTCTCTCTTATATCTTTGTTCAAAAACCAACAAATGAAGTTTACTTTTATCTTTTTGGTCAGAAGCAAACAATTAGACTTATGGTTTTGCATTCTTGTGGTCATGTGATACTTTATGAGACACGCATACTTTTTCTCCACACTTATTCTTGTTTTTTATCGTGATCTCGTTCTCCTAAACTCAGCAGTCATGAATTAGTTAACTTTACGTTGGACATAAAGTTTGCTTCGAATTATGACTTTTATACTTCGATACATATTTATTGATTTTTGGGGAACTTCTAATAAGTAACAACCATTTGACACATATTTCATTCATTTGACACATATTTTAGGTAACATAGTGATGAAGCTTTGGTAGATAATCAACATTTTCGATGTCATCTCCGATTGTAAGACAATATGGACGGTCGATGTAAGGTGTCCTTTAACCGTTATACAATTGATATTATCTTGGGTAGGTCTACATCAAATGAGTTGTAATATATTTGTTTTCACAAACTATATAGTATTTGCTTAATCTTTATGTCCACTTCATTATGTTGGATAGGTCCATACAATTGTTTTCGCGGTTGTCCAGTCCATTTCACCTACCTACCCCACTTTTTTTTATTGTAAAATCATTTTCACCTTAATTATGTTCAAAGATTTGCTAAATAAAATATCTTTTATAAAATTAAACGAATATGTATCACAAAATCATAGCTAATATAAGGCATTTTGAGACTTATCTATATAGCTTTTTTTTTTTTAAATCACTGAATTAACTCTATCTACTTATATGTACATTTACATATAATTTAGAGAGATTGTTACTAAAACATATTTCAACCAAACGTTAGCGGTAATGATTTGGGAACATGGCGTTAATTCATTTACTTTTTCGGAATCGATTTCTCTAGGTAACACTTATTTGTTTTTCGTTAATTTGATCAGTAAAAATAGTAATATATTTTAAATTCATTGAAAAGTTAGGTCAATGGACTAATTCGATATTTTAAATTCACTTTCCGAAGTTTCAAAAAAAAAAACACACACATTCCAACCCAACTAATCT